AAATGTGAACTTAGCAGACACCTTTCAAGCCTACAACGAAGGGAATGGTGATACTACAAAAAGATTTGGGGTATTGCTTTAAGGAACTGCTCTTTTTAATATAGGCATGATTGAAGGTTTAAGTATTCCATTATGGTCCAAATGAAGTTTTACATCAAAGGCCTTCTTCTAAAACTGACACTCTTTTTTGTAGGTTTTGTCCCGAAAGAGGTAAGAGCAAAAGATTCTTTTTTAGTACTGACTCGTCACAGTGACTTTAAGGTATGATGAGGCAAAATGTTAAGAAGAGTGCTCACATTTAAGGATGGTTAGAGGTACTGTGCACTCACAACAACAGACCATGAAATATTCACGTTCTCAACTGAAGTGGCTAAGGTACAAGTCCATCCCATTTCTTTTATGATCCCCAAAAGAGTCTCGGTAGAATTCTGTGATTGTTATCTCAGAGCTGGATTACAAGAATATATATATATATATATATATATATTTATATCATCACATCCTTTGCCAGAGTGAATAGGTACACCCTGCTGCACTGTGGATGAGAGTATTGTGTGTAGGTTCTTAGTGAGCCATTTGGAAGTGCACTGTGCTGTTATGCAGATTAGCATGGATCTGTGGCTCAGTGTAGATTAGCCTGGATTGCCTGTGTGTTGCCTCCGGAGATTTGGATGGCTCTGAGAAGAAATGTCATGCCATGGTTTTAGGCGTTAGCCCCCACCGCTTACCAGCTGTGATTTTTCGGTGTTTGCTGATGGAAGTCGGCGGTCCCTCGGAGGATCGCGGACCGCTGAAAGCTGTCAGTGAATGACTTGTGTAAGCAGCGGAGATGCGTTTGATGTGGAGCAATGTACGACTCCCAGTGGGCTTGCATCAGTCGCTGACTGACAGGAAGTCTCAGTCCCTCTTCACGGCGTACTACAGAGGCCTTCTACCCACACACCTACCCGCCTGCTGACTCGCTTTTTATGCTTTGTGGATTAGCGATGGATCTTTGGCAGGATCAGCGCTCAGGAAGTTACAGCGACTGCCCTAAAGAGAGACAAATGGAGGCGAGTGGCTTGGCCCCCGACAGTCCCTGCGCACATTTGATCACAGCCGCGTCTTATCAGCGCACCCTGATCTGCCAACTGCACACAACCTACTCCTCTAGCTCCTCGCTTTGTTTTTTTCCCCTCACCAGATCAATACATTAACCTTTCTCATCCTCAAACTCCTCCCCTCTTTGGGTTTCGCTCTAAATCACTGTCAGCTTGTTTTCCCCAATCTCTCCTTTTCCCTTGCTCTCTCTCTCTCTCACACTCTCTTTGTATCATTTCCTGTTTGGTTTCGAGCCTTTCACACATGGTGTGGTAATTGTATCAGCTTTATCAACCCCCCACCCCCTCTTCTCCCTAGAAACAAAAAGGAAGAATTGACCCAGTCATCGTATATGTCTGTTGCAACATGCGCACCAATCTGTTTTCAAGCCTTTCTATGTTTGTAGCAGCCCTACATTTTTTCTCCCCCCTCATCACGGCTGTCATTATTTCTCTTTTGCCTCATTCCTTTACCCCCCCTCCAACATTTCTTCCTTCCTGTCTCCTGATCTCGGTCATCATGTTCTCTCGTGCTTTGCTTTTGCTTTTTTCCTCCCCCCCCTATTCGTCGCTCCTCAATTCCCACCTCATCATGTTCTCCACCACCGATCTATGTCCTCTCGCCTATCCTCCACCTCCGCGGCCCCCCAATCATATCTTTTGAACAAGTGCTGATTAATGACATACAGGCTGATGAATAATTCACCAAAGAGGAGCTGAGGCAAAGCAGGGGGGGAGACAGATAGAAGGTTGGGGTGACGAACAAAGAGAGCGAGAGAGAGCACGCAGAGGCAGACAGCACGGGGAAAGAAATGACAGCGAGGAAAGAGGGGCGTTTGAGGGGATTACATACGAGAGAGTGAAAGAGAACGTGAGGGAGGGCGGATGGAGACAGTAGGCAAACCAAGTTCCAGAAGATGTAGCCCTGGGCTGAAGGATTGGCTTCTGTTGTCTTGTTTTCATTCATTTGCTCTCAGTCTTGTTGTCAGCCGGTTACAGATAAAATGTAATTCTTCTTTGTTTGATTGAAAAGTGCTTATGTCTTTGTCATGCCCATAAAGGCACTCCGGAACAAAGTAAATTAAGACGAAAGGGAGGTTAAGGCCTTTGTGTGAGACTTGTGGAGGTTTGGAAAACATTTCCTTCTGTGGGTGAGACAAAGTTATAGTACGCAAAGGTCGTGCCCGGCCCGCCTGCGGACAGAAAAAACTCTTAATTGATGACCTCGTGTTCTGGATGCAGCTCAAGAGGGCAAAAGATAAAAAAATTTTACTTATATGCCGCAAGGTGCAGAGGAGTACACAGTCTGGGAAATCTGAACGCTGTGTCTTACTTGGTCTGCTTACAGTGATTGAATATTCATGTTCAGGGCTCTGGGCCTGTAGTTCATTGTTGATTCTGATTGGTCCGTTTGTCATGAAAGTCGTCAGACCAAAAGATGCTATTTATAAAAAGACTTCAAACGGTCCGGGATAAGAATAAATACTCATTGTATATTCTGTCTATTTATTAATTAATATTCATATAATATTTATAAGGTATTTACAAATGTATGAATTTATAATGAATTTGCACGTCAGAGTGTCCAGCATGCGCACATGTGCCCACTCCTCAGCACAAATCATAAAGTTTAGTAGAGCTCTCTTTGTCAGCTGCTGCTGGAACTGTCCAGCAGTCTGGTGCTGAAATGGCTCTTTTTTTGTATTTTTTATTTTATTCCGCTCACTTTCTACATACGGATGAGTCATACTCCACCCTTCACCATCCCAAACACCCACATCCTCACCCTCACATATCCACACGCAGAAAACCCCCAACCCCACCCTCCCTCCACAGTCACAATCCTCGAGCCATCACGCATTAAAAAGCTCCTAACCGTGAGGAAATGCAGGATGACACTGCATAGAGACATCACTGTGGGTGTTGGTGTTTTTTTTTTAATTGCTACCCCCACCCAACCACCCCACCGCCTCCTCTCCTTCTCTGAGAACATCCACTCTGCCAGCGTTTGCCCTCATTTTAAGCTCAGGATTCAGATTTGGGATGCGAGCTTGAGGGGATGGCTGCATATTGCTATTTACGCCTACAGCAGGTTCCCTTCCCTGCCTCTGCCGCTCCGTGATGCGTGATTTGTAGATAATGTGGTGATGTTGGGAGCGATGTGCGTGCGTGTGCGCGCGTCTGGATTGTTCAACATGCAGTGGTTTATTGTTGATTTCTCAGACATATGTATGCATAACATGTTAACGTGTAAAATACCAGACGCATGCTGATAAAGATGCTTTTTAAAAAATGCCTCAGCAGCTATTGGATTACATTTGGTACACACAATCATGTTAGAATTGATCTCGTAAGCATGCTCAAACCACTGCTAAACATAGACTGTATACAAAAATGCGCGCAACCACTGTGATGTTCAGTTGTGCATCCTTGGTCTGAGCATTTTGACCATCGCAATCTTGTTTTTGGTAAACTGGACATGATAAGCGGGTGCTGCATTTTACTAAGAAACTTGCAATGTGTTACGGCCCTAGCAGGGCCGCCTCCTGAAGTTGTCTGTTTGGGCGTGTCCGTCCATCTCTCCTGCCTTAGTTGCCACCTTTCTTTTGTGCAGCTGACTCTCGTCAGTAATTAAAAGTATTTAAGCCCAGGGAAAGGTGAGCTCTGGGCCAGAGTGCCATTAGTGTGGTTACAGCTAGTGAGCTGCGTGTCCGTGTTTGCAGCTGGTGAGCTGCACTCTTTTTGACTTACTTTTTACTTTATTGACCAACGCTTGAGTTTTGTTTGTTTTCCTTAAATGGTGATAGCGGATTGTCCGTCTCTTTTAGTTGAGCTACTTTAATAAAACGATTTAATTTAACCCTTTTGCCTCCTTGACTCTTTTTTCTGACCCGCACACTTTTTGTTACTTCCCCCTCACCACCTAGACCCCTCAGGGGAACGTAACAAATGTTATGGGGATGAAACATGAAACCAGGTAACACAACTTGTTATTAAACACATACACTGCTTGTCTCTACCTTGACTGTTACATTATTAGTATGAGTGAAGTTTGCAGCTTGCACATAGGTCCAACAGAG